TACCATATTGATGATAATTATGACAAAACTTTTGGTTAATTTGCCTTTGGTCTATTATAATGTTTATTAGATAAATCTACATTGTAAACAAGACAAAAAGGGATATTTTGAAATACAAAGAGAATGAACTGCTTTCAAATGTTAGAAGCACTTGCCTGCAGATCTACCTATGTAGAGCCAGCTCCTCCACTGGTGCTCAGGGCTCTCAGCCACTCAGGTCTTTTCTGGAACCTTACAGTGTCAAACATTGTAAATGGGCTCAAGAGTCTCCGAGTTTAAAGAAAAAGAAGGAAAAAAGCCTTCTCTCTCCCTCACCCTCTTTCAGTCCCCTCTTCCATATCACAGATTTCTGAGTCTCTCCTTGTGGCCTCTGTCAACATCCTCCCCTACCTCTTGTCTGAAGCAGCTCCTACTTGAAGTCCCTGACCTTCACTGTCACAACACTGAAAGGATATTTTTGGTCCTCATCTTACTTAACCCGTTGGCAGCATTTGTTCAAAACCTTGGCTTCACAACACAACCTTTGACTGTTTTCTATTTCTCTAGCTGTTCCTTGACCTCTTTTGCTGGTTCACCCTTTTCTAACTAGCTGTTACATGTTGGGATTACTCTAGATTCAGAATTCTCTTCTCCTCATTCTTCACTCTTTTTCTGGTTAATAAAAGTTACTCTCATGACTTCAGTGAGCAACTTCATGCTGAAACTCCGATTTATATCTCCATGTCAGGATGCTTCTCTAGTCCCAGACCTGTAACATCCAACTACACTCTTGAGATCTCTTCTTGAATATTTCAAAGAGATTTCAGACTGAATTCATGATTTTCACCCTATCTGCCTGCTTCTCCTCCAATGTGGTCCTGCACCATCATCCACTCAGTTATGGGGGTCAGAAAACTAGGAGTCATCTTCGATATACCTTCCCCATAGCCAATCCATCACCAAAACTTGCTGACTATCTCCTAAACATCTTTCCAGTGCATTCACTTCTCCCTAGTCCAGCCTGGTCTCAGCTATCATTTCTTAGATAGCCTCCTAACAGTCTCTCTGCAGTTATTGGGACTGCACCCTCACACCCAATCCATTCTCCACACTGCAACCAGAGCAATATTTTCAAAATGCAATATGATGTAACATGTGCCACCGCAAAAACATCAGAAAGCAAGCAATAAAAGAAAACACAAAGCTTTCAATTGCATATGCTAACTCTCTCTGCCAAGAACACTCCCTTTCTTCTTAACTCAGACTTCAGATCTCACTTTACCAAGAAAACCGTCCCTGACCTCCCTGACTAAATCAAATCTCCCAATATAGGTTCTTATAGCATCTTGTTTCCCTCTTCCCTAACACTAGAGTTAAAAATTTTAACATTTGTGTAATTATCTGTTTCTCCTCNGTTGAGAACCGCTGAAATCACCAATGGATTTCATGGAACCTCCCTCCTTTGATTTTATGTATAAAATAAGCTGTAAAACTGCCATTCTTCGGAGCATTTTCTCAATCCGTTGAGATTTTCCTTCCCGGCAACTGTCGACAGTTTCGCTCAAATAAACTCTTATAAAGTTTTCTCATAGGTTGGATGTTTTTCGTCAACACAACGAACTTGCAATGACAAAGAGTTCTTGGCCTTCTCTGATGCGTAAATATCATAAATTTGTTATAGGTACATAGAATTTCTTGCATCTGTCCTTGTGTTTTGTAATTGTTACATAAAATTTCTTGTATCATAATATGTTAAAAAAATAAATGCTGAAATTCCTTTATAATACTAAAAACAAGTACCTAAATGTAAACAAATAAAAATTTGAATTAAAAAATTAAAATGAGATTTTTGCCCTGAAAGTATGGGCCAAAAACATGGGTGTGTATTATACACGGCAAAATATGGTAATTCTACTGGGGAGTCTCAAATCTTTTCCAATCCCAAACCGATCCTTACCAATAATAAGCTGCTCCAAGCGGACACGCTCATGGGCAGCGTGCTGATCCACCAAGACGAGCAGGTTTCCTCCTACAAGATTGGCAAGCATTACCGGAGTGTCAAATTCTCAAATTGAGATTAAAATAATCATTGTTGTACTGAGGGAGAAAAAGGCTAAATCAAACTATTTAACAACATGAGCAAACGAGAGACAAACATACAGAGTAGTAACAATTGTATCTTTTATTTCCTAAAAAAAATGAAATTATGGGGAAAACTATAACAAATTTATCTCAAAGGAAAAACTCTTTAGTTTGTTAGNACCAATAGAAAACAGGAAAGGAGGGCAGAAAAGGCAACAAAGACAAAATAAATTGTTTGTTGTAAAAAAATGAAAAGAAACACATAAGGAAAATAAGAAGTAATAGTCCTCTTCAACCCCGCCCCCGCCCCCCCACGCCACATCCCTGCAGCAGCTTTCCAGACCTTTACCAAAACATATATGTGTCCTCATATTCAAAATGCAGTGCTAAAATGTATCTCAGTCTTCTCAGGATGAAATGCAAGCTACTTAGCAGAATATGCTAAAACCCTTTGATTTGGTCTTGGCAACCTATCTAGCCTCATCTAGTCCCACCACTACCCCACACATACCTTAATTCGGGTCATATATATTGGTAGCTCCCTAAACATAGGATCTGCATTAACTCTCTAATATCTGTTGCTCTGTCCACAATGCCCTTCTCCCCTCATCTGCACTCTGCAGGCTCCTGCAGTTCTACAAGACTCTTCCAAAAAAAAGCTTTTCTGTGACAGTTTCCTTGACCTCCACCTTCCTAGGCACAGTAATCATTCTGTATTTCCATACCAATTTTTGAACACACTTCCACTGCCCAAATTTCATTATATTGTAATTATTTAAATGTCCTTCATCATCTTGAGCTAATTCATCTTTGATTCTCTAGTCAAATACCAGCACACAGCAAGTATTTCGTAAATGCTTATTAAATAAAGGATGAATATAGAGAGTTTCTAAATAAAATAGGAGGTTACTATCACTCATCAATTTCAACATCAGCAGCTATGTCTTACCTCTACGATACTCTTGGTCACAGTAGACCTTCCTCTTCGAAGTTCATTGGCTTCTCTTTCTACAATGCAGAGTGGTACTTTTCCTACAAGGACCAGAGAGTCACTAGTGTCTGGAAATATAATTTCAAGGCCCAAATCTTCCAGATTTTCGTGGTAACACCTACAGAGATAACCTCAAATGTAAAAGTATTACAACCTCAAATATAAAAGTATTACTTCATTCACATTTCATTACTTCATTCAAATACCTGATAGTTTCTCAAAAGTTGCTACAAGCTTTATAAATTATACTGTTTTTCTCAAACTAATGGGTATTTGTTCAGGATTTTATTATTAAATTTCCTTTTTGAATTACAGTAACTTTCATTTTCTTCTCTTTTCCATTGAGAAAATCAATTTGTTTCTCAGTCTTGTTCCTAAGTTTTTATTCTTCACTAAGGAATCGCTAACTTTTCTTGTTGGCACTTGAAGGAGTTTGGCACAAATAAAAGGGCTGAGAGTGTTTTGAATCAGCATAAAAGCAGGGAGGCAATTAACAGTCCCAGGAACTGAGAAGTCCTGATTAATGGGATGTAAATAAATGGATCTGACTCTCATATAAATTATGCCCCAGGGAAAAAGATTTATTGGCAGTGGCATATTCCCAAACCTGAAATAAATTCAGAGACAATTCACTCTTTTTCATTTCCAATAATTTGTGCTGCTCAAACGTGGGAAAACATCCTATCTTGTGAGTCACTATACGATTTGCCCCCTTCTTGTGGCCGTGTTTTACTTTCTTCCCAGTATGATTATGGTAATGAAAGCTAAGAATCTAGAATACATGGAGACAAAGCAGAATGGAAGCAATTACTGTAGTAACTTTGCATTCAGAAACAGCACAGCATAAACACTGACTGTTCCAACAAATGGTAAGAGTATTCTAAGCCAACTGCTGGAAAAAATTATCAGGCAAACACTATCCTATACTCAACAGCTGTAATATAGTGGAAAGAACGGCATTTGAAGTCAGAAGACCTGCCTCTGAGTGCCTGCTCCACTACTTAACCGTTGTTGTGACCTTGAACAAGTCATGTAACCTCTCTTGGTCTCAGGTGACTCGTCTAAAAAAAGGAACGATAGTTATGCTTATACTTCACAGAATTATTGTGAGAATTTACACTAGTATCAACATCACATCCTCCATGGTACCAACCATAAGAGTCTCCTTTGCTCCTCGGTCACTGGTATCTCTAGTGGAGGACTTATCGTGGAAGACAATAATTTTTTCCGACCAGAACCTTGTGGCTGTTGCTTCTCATAGGAATCTATTGGGAGGAAGATGAATGGGTTAAGAGTAGAAAGTGAAGTCTTCTAGAGTCAGATAAAAATGAAGCATGGTAAGGCACAGCCATGTAATTACTATAGTGCTTAGCAGTGTGTTCAATGCTCAGTTTTAGGCTTTGGACTTTCATTATTAAAGTCAAACTAGTAAATACCCAGTCTGTTTATTCATTTTAGCAGTATTTTACAAAATAAGACATCTAAGACTTAAATCTTACATTCAAATGAACAATGCAATGTTCCTGTAGATAGTGATAAATGTGGTTTTAACAACGGAGGTGAATAATGTGGATTGCTGAGGAAATAAAATGCGTTTACTATACAGTC